TTTTAATCTTGCCACTGGTTTGTGTTTAAACTCTCATAATATTTAAATTCTTTCCTGCATATGTATCTGAACTTTGATTTAACTATGATGGTGATCAACTTTGATGTCATTCTCAGATACACGAGAATTGTCTACTGTTATTTGCATTCTGTGATCTCTCATCTCTAGACCCTGTAGTTTTTTACATGTTAATTTTGGGCTCCAATATTGTGGTTGTATGGGTTTCTGCATATTCTGATTAACTAATGCTCTCTATGATGCATGATCATGTTTGTATTATACTGTTTAATCCTGAGTTTGGTATAGTTGATCCTCTAAGTTCTAAATTAGATGCGTCACTTGGTTTTATTAGTATAATGCCTTGCCTGTTAACTTTGCAGTCCTAGATTCTTTGTCTTTTGCATATGTGATGGATATAAATTATACTTATATTTTAATAAAGAAATATAATATTTTAGATATAAAACATGACCAATTTTATATCCTATTCTCGCACTTTTCTAACAATTCTTGCAGGAAAAAGAATACATAGGAAAAGAGAAAAAGAAAGAAATTACAGCTCAAGGGAAGAATGATGCATCCGTGACAATTTCATCTAAGACTAAACAAAGTCAAGAGATACAAAGTTATGGCAAATTCTCACCAATCTATCAAGACAAATTGCCATATCAATTTCTCATCAAGGTCATATGATATATTAATATTATATATTACAATTTCTCACCAAGGCCTTGTAGGAATTTTTCTATAAATAGCCATATGTTTGTAGATGAAAAAGCATCCCTCTTTGTATCCAATTTTCTATCTAGTTTTTTCTAAGTTTCTAGAGAGAAAGAGAAGAGTAATCTTGGTCTCTTCCTCTAATATTTCTCTTTGTAATAAAAATATTCTTAGTCTTTTGAAAGTATTTTTTAGCTTTTCTTACTTCATAATGGAGTAATTTCTTTTTGTTGGGATAGTTGATGAAGCTTGATATAATTATAATACTATCTCAGTTTCAATACATTCTTGGCCTGAAACTCTATATACATTTCATATTGTGATGGAATGATGATTTTTTAATCATTATTATCACATCTACATATTTTATATCTAAGTTATTCTTATATTAATTTTGTAATTCTCACGGAGCAAAATTAATATATAATAAAATATGAATAGAATATTAGAGTGAAAGTAATGTTTAATAAGATTATTATTTCAAGTCTATAATCTTGCTTTCCTCAGTTTTAATTCTCACGGAGGAATTGTTGAAGGCAAGATTATTGATTTTCTAGTAAAAATATTCTCACGAAGTTTTTACTACACTTGAGCACAAAATATTAGAGTTAAAAATAATTTTTAGTAAGATTATTGTTTCAAGCCTGTAATCTTGCTTTCCTCAGTTTTAATTCTCACGGAGAAATTGTTGAAGGCAAGATTATTGATTTTCTAGTAAAAATATTCTCACGAAGTTTTTACTACGCTTGAGCACAATTCAGGCAAGATATTTCAGTTTAATCGTCACTAGTTTTAAATTAATTAATTGACATAACCTCACGGAGTGTTAATTATTTATTTATTTCTTAGTGTAAAAATATAATTGCATTAGCAATAAGCAATTATTCTTTAGAGAAATACGTATAAAACTGAGATTTTATTGTAATGATATATCAAGTGAATTCAACGATTCCCAACTCTTTTTAAATATAAACTTTTCGGAAGAAATTTGTCTTAATTTATAATTCCAAATACACCTTTCATCAATTTGGTTCTCTCAAATAGTAGTCAAAATATTACAAGTCTGTAGCTTAGATTGTCCAATCTCTGTGGGACGATATCATAAACTATACTAGAATTTGACAGAGTACGAGCAGCAAATCCTATACACACAAGCTTCGTCAAATTTTTGGCGCCGTTGCCGGAGATTGGCACACATCTACTTCAGATTAAATATTTTATTACTAATTTGAGAATTTATTATTATTGTTAATTTTCCGTTCAAAATGTTATCTACTACATACTACTATGATAATTGTACTTTTATTAGGAGTAATTTTATATAATATTGTACAAAAGCATATAAAAAAAAAGAAAAAAGAAATCCCTCATAGTTAGTACTTCAAACCTACTCTATTTTATATTATATTATTATATTATTATTGTTAGTACTAACATCTATATAATAGTATAATATATTAGTTTTGTGATTCACAATCTCATTTTTTTTATTTGTCATTTTTTAAGTATATTTTATTATTTTTATTATTATTATAATTGTAAGTACTTGTTTTTACTATTCTAGTTCTAAAAGTAACCTTTGTACTATTCTATATTACTATTATAACTATTACTTTTACTATATCTTTATAAAATAATATTTTATTCAACTTTTTTTTAATTGATAGTACTTTAATCCTTCAACATACTTGATTTATTATTGATTTTTTTTTCATATAATATAATTAGTATTATATTATTTCTTTTGATGGTTAGTTACAACTTACTGTTTTAGTTAACTATAATATTACCGTACTAATTTTTTTTAATTCATTTTTAAAACTATCTATTACTATTTTAGGAACTGTCTTTATTTTACTTTAATTTCAGATAGTTTATGACCCGCTCTTCTACAAAAGACTTGGCCAATTACGATCCTGAAATTGAAAAAACTTTGCGATTGTGCAGGAAAGGACAAATATCGTCTCAAAACATAACTTGTAACAGAATGGAGCACCAATTAGAAGATGATAACAATCCACTACAAATTCCACCACCAGCTCATGTAGAGGAGCAGTTTGATGAAGTGGCGCCAAGACCAGCAAACAGAATCCTAAGGGATTATGCTAGACCTGATCACTTTAACTGTGAATCAAGTATCAGGAAACCTCCAGTAGCAGCCAATAACTTTGAAATCAGGACAGGCCTGATTCAAACAATTCAACAATCTTGCATTTTCACTGGTGATCTAAGTGAAGATCCACATAGTCATTTAATTGACTTTTTAGAATTGGTTGAAACTGCAAAGTATAATGGAGTACCTCCTGAAGCAACTAAGTTAAGGCTATTTCCTTTTTCTTTAAAAGGAGAGGCCAAAACTTGGTTATGAAGTTTGCCGCAAGGGTCTATTACCACATGGGGCCAAATGACTCAGAAATTTTTAAATAAATATTTTTCCCCTGCTAAAACAACAAAGTTAAGACAGGATATATCTAACTTCTTGCAGACTGACACTGAGTCAGTTTATCAAGCTTGGGAAAGATTGAAAATAATGTTAAGGAAATGTCCACATCATGACATTCCTGAACATATGCAGNTGGCTTGCATGCATGGTCGGAATTGAATTTCGAGATGTTCAGAGTTGATTTGGAAAGAAAATTCTCATTTCGGAAGCTTTAAGTTGGAAGAATTGACTAAAGTGTGATTTTTGAGTAGACGACCTTGAAATCGGGATTTAAAAGTTCCAACAGGTTTGTATGATTATTTTGGACTCGGACGTATGTCCGGATCGTGTTTTGGATGACTCGGGAGCGTTTCGGCGTCTATTATGGAAGTTGGCATTTTGGAAGAATTTCATAAATTTGGGTTGAGGTGTATTAGAATATTATTGATGTCTGTTTGGGATTCCCAGTCTGGGAATAGCTCCGTATGGTGATTCTGGTATTGGGAGCGCGCTCGGAAGTGGATTTGGAGGTCCGTAGCTCATTTCGAGGTCATTTGGCGAAAGTTATAAAGTTGAAGGTTTTTGAGAAGTTTGACCGGGAGTGGAATTTTGATATCGGGGTCGGATTCCGATTCTGGAAGTTGAAGTAGGTCGATAATGTCGTTATGTGCAAAATTTGATGTCAATCGGACGTGATTTGATAGATTTCGGCATCGAATGTAGAAATTGGAATTTCTAGTTTCATTAGACTCGAATTGGGGTGTGATTAGTGTTTTTAGCGTTGTTTGATGTGATTTGAGGCCTCGACTAAGTCCGTGATATGTTTTGAGACTTGTTTGTATGTTCGGACGGGGTCCCGTAGGGGGCTCGGGGTGAGTTTTTAGGGTGGTTTTTGGACCGATTTTCGTAGGGTCCGANGTTTTGAAAAAGTGCAAAATGACAGAAAATCTCAGATTTATATACTTTGCTGAAGGACTGGCGCGGACCGCGCAAAAATGCCCCGCGGCCGCGCCGAGGAAGGGAGGGAAAAATAGATCTCTGAACCTACCCAGCGCGGACCGCACGATTTTGGTGCGCGGCCGCGCTGACGTCTTGCACCTGGGGCCTTCTCTGAATCTCCCAGCGCGGACCGCGCGGAAATGACCGCGGCCGCGCTGGGGCCTGCAACACTGCAACATCTGATACTTTAAGCCTAAGGCCCCCCCCCGGGACCTACTCAAAACTCACCCGAGCCCTCGGGGCTCCAACCCAAGCATACACACTAACTCAATAACATCCTACGAACTCATCCGTGCGATCCGATCGCCAAAACAACATCGTAATCATCAAATTAGGCCTCAAGACCCATGATTTCCTTCCAATTTTCATAAGACATCAAGTTTAGAGTTTTTAGTCCAAAACACGTCAAACGACGTCCAAATCTAACCAAACTTTACAGCAATTGTTTAAATCATATTTAAGACTTGTGCCGGGCATCGGAACCAAAATACGAGCCCAACAGCACAGTCTTCTAAACAAATAACACTTTCAAATTCTTTAATTATTTTCAGAAACAATTTCGCACAATAATTCATTTCTCGGACTCGGAACCTCGGAATTTGATTCCGGGCACACCCCCAAGTCTCATATTTTCCTACGGACCCTCCGGGACTGTCGAATCACGAGTCCGGGTCCGTTTGCCCAAAACGTTGACCGAAGTCAAACTCAATCAATTAAATACCAAGATTTAACAATTTTTCTCACAAATTTCATATTTAAACTTTTTCGTCTACGCGCCCGGACTGCGCACACAACTCGAGGCAACCCCAAATAAGGTTTCCAGGGTCTCAGAAGTACAGAGGGAGTAGGAATACAGGTGATGACTCTTTGGGTCGTCACATCTTTTCAGGTAAATACACAACAACCAAGCCAGTTTGAGGCTTGTGACTTGTGTGGAGGAAACCATCTAAACCACGAATGTCAAGCAACCAATCAAAATGATGAACAGGTCAATGTCATCGGATACAAGTCGTATCCTTTTAGAAGTCCACTAGTACAAAAACATCCAGTATTTCAATGGAGCAATGCAAATGGTGCTGAAAACTCTCAAAACTACCAAAAACAACAGGTACAGAGTCCACCCGGATATCAAAATCAAAATCACGGACAACAAAATTTCAAGCCTTATCAGCAAGCAACTCCATATCAGCAAAGGCCTCAACAAGGCCATCCAAGTCTTGATGACCTTTTGTACAAGTACATTAAGGTTACTGATGAAAAAATGGAAAGCCAAAATTCAGCTCTAAAAAATCTTGAAATTCAGTTAAGCCAATTGGCAACTCTTGTGTCTGAAAAGATTCAAGGTCCTTTACCGAGCAATACAGAGAAAAATCCAAAAGAACACCTTAAGGCCATCGCCTTACGGTCAGGTACGACTCTTGATGAACCCTATGCAAACAGACAAGAAAAGAATCAATCAGAACAACAGGTAGACAAGGGCGAAAATGTTGAGACACCCTCTCAACCATCAGAAGAGAAAGAAGCCAAGAAAAAAGAAGAAAAAAATAATAAAAATTTGACTTCTTTCCCTGTTACAATTCCTTTCCCACAAAAGATGAAAAGAGAAAAGCTTGATAATCAATTTGCAAAGTTTTTGGAGATTTTAAAACAAATTCACATTAACATTCCTTTTACTGATGCTTTATTGCAAATGCCTTCATATGCCAAATTTCTAAAAGAAATTTTATCAAGCAAAAGGAAATTGGAAGAAGTTTCTGTGGTAATGCTTACTGAAAAATGCAGTGCTATACTTCAAAATAAGCTACCACAAAAACTCGGTGACCCAGGTAGTTTTACCATTCCATGTACTCTGGGAGGAGTATACATTGAAAAAGCACTTTGTGATTCTGGAGCTTCAATAAATTTGATGCCATTTTCTATTTTTAAAAAATTAGATCTTGGTGAAATGAAAGACACAGGTGTTTCACTTCAATTTGCTGATCAAAGTACTAAGAGACCAAAGGGAATAATTGAAAATGTGCTTGTAAAAGTAGATAAATTTATTTTTCCTGTAGATTTCATAGTACTTGAAACGAAGGAGTGTTCTGATGAACCAATTATTTTGGGTAGACCATTTCTTGCAACTGGCAGGGCAATCATAGATGTCCATCAAGGACAACTAATTATAAGAGTTGATGAAGAAAGAGTTATTTTTGATATGCAAAAGATACTAAGATTCTCAGAAGATGATACATCATCTTCATGATTTTCAATTGACATGATTAATAATCTTATAGATGAATTCAAAGATGATCAATTAATTTCTGACTCAATGGAAAGATGTTTGGTCAAATCTGGCACCAAACAGGATGAAGATCTGACTATCAAAAATGATGCAAAATTATTGGAAAAAGATTATGAGGAAGGGGACATGCAATTAGAAGAAGTTCAACCAAAAGTTAAACTCAAAACTCTCCCTTCTCATTTGAAATATGTCTATCTTGAGCATGAGTTATTTCCAGTAATTATTTCATCTTCTCTAACTACAGAACAGGAAGAAAGATTGATTGAAGTATTAAAAGCACACAAAGGAGCCTTGGGATGGACTGTAGAAGATATCAAAGGGATTAATCCAGCAATTTGTACGCACAGAATCCTCATGGAGGATAGCTACAAACCAATAGTCCAACCCCAAAGAAGATTAAACCCAGCAATGCAGGAAGTGGTAAAAAAGGAGATTGTAAAGCTTTTGGCGGCAGGTATTATTTACCCTATTTCAGACAGCCCTTGGGTAAGTCCTGTTCAGGTAGTACCAAAAAAGGGAGGTATGACAGTGATAAAAAATAAAAATAATGAACTAATACCTACCAGGACCGTCACAGGATGGAGAGTCTGTATAGATTATAGACGTCTTAATGATGCCACTAGAAAAGATCACTTTCCTTTGCCATTTATTGATCAAATGTTAGAAAGAATTGCAGGATATGGGTTTTATTATTTTCTTGATGGCTATTCAGGGTATAACCAAATACCAATCGCACCAGAAGATCAAGATAAGACAACTTTCACATGTCCTCATGGAACATATGCATATAGGAGAATGCCATTTGGTTTGTGCAACGCCCCTGCTACATTTCAGCGTTGCATGTCAGCAATTTTTTCTGACATGACTGAAAAATTTCTTGAAATTTTCATGGATAATTTTACACTCTTCGGCAAGGGTTTTGAGGATTGTCTTCACCACTTAACCTTAGTTCTTAAGAGATGTGAAGAGACAAACTTAATTCTTAATTGGGAAAAATGTCATTTTATGGTTACTGAGGGAATTGTTTTAGGACATAAAATCAATGCTAAAGGGATAGAAGTTGATAAGGCTAAAATTAATCTTATAGCAGGATTACCCCCTCCCACAACTATTAAAGGCATTAGAAGCTTTCTAGGTCATGCAGGTTTTTACAGACGGTTCATAAAAGATTTTTCAAAGATTTCAAAACCACTGACTAACCTTTTAATGAAAGATGTTAAGTTTGAATTTTCAGGTGATTGTATGAAAGCCTTTGACACCCTTAAAGAAAAATTATCAACTGCCCCTATAGTTGTGTCCCCTGATTGGAACCAACCTTTTGAGGTCATGTGTGATGCTAGTGATACAGCAGTTGGAGCTGTTTTAGGACAGAGAAAAGATAAGATTTTTCGTCCAATTTACTATGCCAGCAGGACAATGAATGAGGCTCAACTAAATTATGCCACGACTGAAAAAGAACTACTAGCAGTGGTATTTGCATTTGATAAGTTTTGTTCCTATCTGATAGGAACCAAGGTTATTGTTTTTACTGACCATGCGGCTCTAAAATACCTCTTAGCAAAAAAAGATGCGCGACCTAGATTGTTAAGATGGATTTTACTTCTCCAAGAATTTGATCTCGAAATAAAAGATAAAAAGGAAACAGAGAATCAAGTAGCTGACCATTTGTCTAGATTAGAGAACCCCCCACTTGAGTTATGTGATATAAAAGAAGAGTTTCCTGATGAACATATTTTTTCTATCAACTCAGTTGTGNATGGCAAATTCTCACCAATCTATCAAGACAAATTGCCATATCAATTTCTCATCAAGGCCATATGATATATTAATTTTATATTGCAATTTCTCACCAAGGCCTTGTAGGAATTTTCCTATAAATAGCCATATGTTTGTAGATGAAAAGGCATCCCTCTTTGTATCAAATTTTCTATCTAATTTTTTCTAAGTTTCTAAAGAGAAAGAGAAGAGTAATCTTGGTCTCTTCCTCTAATATTTCTCTTTGTAGTAAAAATATTCTTAGTCTTTTGAAAGTATTTTTTAGCTTTTCTTACTTCATAATGGAGTAATTTCTTTTTGTTGGGATAGTTGATGAAGCTTGATATAATTATAATACTATCTCAGTTTCAATACATTCTTGGCCTGAAACTCTATATACATTCCATATTGTGATGAAATGATGATTTTTTAATCATTATTATCACATCCACATATTTTATATCTAAGTTATTCTTATATTAATTTTGTAATTCTCACAGAGCAAAATTAATATATAATAACTGATGAATAGAAAATTAGAGTGAAAGTAATTTTTAATAAGATTATTATTTCAAGTCTATAATCTTGCTTTCCTCGGTTTTAATTCTCACGGAGGAATTGTTGAAGGCAAGATTATTGATTTTCTAGTAAAAATATTCTCACGAAGTTTTTACTACACTTGAGCACAAAATATTAGAGTTAAAATAATTTTTAGTAAGATTATTGTTTCAAGCCTTTAATCTTGCTTTCCTCAGTTTTAATTCTCACGGAGAAATTGTTGAAGGCAAGATTATTGATTTTCTAATAAAAATATTCTCACGAAGTTTTTACTACGCTTGAGCACAATTCAGGCAAGATATTTCAGTTTAATCGTCACTAGTTTTAAATCAATTAATTGACATAACCTCGCGGAGTGTTAATTATTTATTTATTTCTTAGTGTAAAAATATAATTGTATTAGCAATAAGCAATTATTCTTTAGAGAAATACGTATGAACCTAAGATTTTATTGTAATGATATATCAAGTGAATTCAACGATTCCCAACTCTTTTTAAATATAAACTTTTCAGAAGAAATTTGTCTTCATTTATAATTTCAAACACACCTTTCATCACTTTGGTTCTCTCAAATAGTAGTCAAAATATTACAAGTCTGTAGCTTAGATTGTCCAATCTTTGTGGGACGATATCATAAAGTATCCTTTGTACTATTCTATATTACTATTATAACTATTACTTTTACTATATCTTTATAAAATAATATTTTATTCAACTTTTTTTAATTGATAGTACTTTAATCCTTCAACATACTTGATTTATTATTGATTTTTTTTCATATAATATAATTAGTATTATATTATTTCTTTTGAGTGGTTAGTTACAACTTACTGTTTTAGTTAACTATAATATTACCGTACTAACTTTTTTTAATTCATTTTTAAAACTATCTATTACTAGTTTAGGAACTGTCTTTATTTTACTTTAATTTCAGATAGTTTATGACCCGCTCTTCTGCAAAAGAGTTGGCCAATTACGATCCTGAAATTAAAAAATTTGTGTAGGAAAGGACAAATATCGTCTCAAAACATAACTTGTAACAGAATGGAGCACCAATTAGAAGATGATAACAATCCACTACAAATTCCACCACCAGCTCATGTAGAGGAGCAGTTTGATGAAGTGGCGCCAAGACCAGCAAACGGAATCCTAAGGGATTATGCTAGACCTAATCGCTTTAACTGTGAATCTAGTGTCAGGAAACCTCCAGTAGCAGCCAATAACTTGGAAATCAGGACAGGCCTGATTCAAACAATTCAACAATCTTGCATTTTCACTGGTGATCTAAGTGAAGATCCACATAGTCATTTAATTGACTTTTTAGAATTAGTTGAAACTGCAAAGTATAATGGAGTACCTCCTGAAGTAATTAAGTTAATGCTATTTCCTTTTTCTTTAAAAGGAGAGGCCAAAACTTGGTTACGAAGTTTGCCGCAAGGGTCTATTACCACATGGGACCAAATGACTCAGAAATTTTTAAATAAATATTTTTCCCTTGCTAAAACAACAAAGTTAAGACAGGATATATCTAACTTCTTGCAGACTGACACTGATTCAGTTTATCAAGCTTGGAAAAGATTGAAAACAATGTTAAGGAAATGTCCACATCATGACATTCCTGAACATATGCAGTTGTACATTTTTTATCATGGTTTGAAACCATCTTCTAGAAATGTAATAGATGCAGCTGCAGGAGGTTCCATAATGGGAAAAACCACAGAAGAAGCATTGCAAGTGCTTAATGAAATTTCTGATAATGCCATACAGTGGCCATCTGAGCGTGTAATCATTAAGAAAGCTACTACAGTAAATCAGGTGGACACTTTAAATACACTAACACAACAGATTGTCTCTTTGGCACAAAAATTTGAATCTTTTCAGGTAAATACACAACAACCAAGCCAGTCTGAGGCTTGTGACTTGTGTGGAGGAATCCATCTAAACCACGAATGTCAAGCAACCAATCAAAATGATGAACATGTCAATGTCATCGGATACAAGTCGTATCCTTTTGGAAGTCCACTAGCACAAAAACATCCACGATTTCAATGGAGCAATGCAAATGGTGCTGAAAACTCTCAAAACTACCAAAAACAACAGGTACAGAGTCCACCCGGATATCAAAATCAAAATCGTGGACAACAAAATTTCAGGCCTTATCAGCAAGCAACTCCATATCAGCAAAAGCCTCAACAAGGCCATCCAAGCCTTGATGACCTTTTGTACAAGTACATTAAGGTTACTGATGAAAAAATGGAAAGCCAAAATTCAGCTCTAAAAAATCTTGAAATTCAGTTAAGCCAATTGGCAACTCTTATGTCTGAAAAGATTCAAGGTCCTTTACCGAGCAATACAGAGAAAAATCCAAAAGAACACCTTAAGGCCATTGCCTTACGGTCAGATACGACTCTTGATGAACCCTATGCAAACAGAGAAGAAAAGAATCAATCAGAACAACAGGTAGACAAGGGCGAAAATGTTGAGACACCCTCTCAACCATCAAAAGAGAAAACAGCCAAGAAAAAAGAAGAAAAACATAATAAAAATTTGACTTCTTTCCCTGTTACAATTCCTTTCCCACAAAAGATGAAAAGAGAAAAGCTTGATAATCAATTTGCAAAGTTTTTGGTTAAAACAAATTCACAATAACATTCCTTTTACTGATGCTTTATTGCAAATGCCTTCATATGCCAAATTTCTAAAAGAAATTTTATCAAGCAAAAGGAAATTGGAAGAAGTTTCTGTGGTAATGCTTACTGAAAAATGCAGTGCTATACTTCAAAATAGGCTACCACAAAAACTCGGTGACCCGGGTAGTTTTACCATTCCATGTACTCTGGGAGGAGTATACATTGAAAAAGCACTTTGTGATTCTGGAGCTTCAATAAATTTGATGCCATTTTCTATTTTTAAAAAATTAGATCTTGGTGAAATGAAAGACACAGGTGTTTCACTTCAATTTGCTTATCAAAGTACTAAGAGACCAAAGGAAATAATATAAATTTGCTTGTAAGAGTAGATAAATTTGTTTTTCCTGTAGATTTCATAGTACTTGAAATGAAGGATTGTGCTGATGAACCAATTATTTTGGGTAGACCATTTCTTGCAACAGGCAGGGCAATCATAGATGTCCATCAAGGACAACTAATTTTAAGAGTTGATGAAGAAAGAGTTATTTTTGATATGCAAAAGATACTAAGATTCTCAGAAGATGATACATCATCTTCATGCTTTTCAATTGACATGATTGATAATCTTATAGATGAATTCAAAGATAATCAATTAATTTCTGACTCAATGAAAAGATGTTTGGTCAAATCTGGCACCACACAGGATGAAGATCCGACTATCAAAAATGATGCAAAATTATTGGAAAAAGATTATGAGGAAGGGGACATGCAATTAGAAGAAGTTCAACAAAAAATTGAACTCAAAACTCTCCCTTCTCATTTGAAATATGTCTATCTTGAGCATCAGTTATTTCCAGTAATTATTTCATCTTCTCTAACTACAGAACAAGAAGAAAGATTGATTGAAGTATTAAAAGCACACAAAGGAGCCTTGGGATAGACTGTAGAAGATATCAAAGGGATTAATCCAGCAATTTGTACGCACAGAATCCTCATGGAGGATAGCTACAAACCAATAGTCCAACCCCAAAGAAGATTAAACCCAGCAATGCAGGAAGTGGTAAAAAAGGAGATTGTAAAGCTTTTGGCGGCAGGTATTATTTACCCTATTTCAGACAGCCCTTGGGTAAGTCCTGTTCAGGTAGTACCAAAAAAAGGAGGTATGACAGTGATAAAAAATAAAAATAATGAGCTAATACCTACCAGGACCGTCACAGGATGGAGAGTCTGTATAGATTATAGACGTCTTAATGATGCCACAAGAAAAGATCACTTTCCTTTGCCATTTATTGATCAAATGTTAGAAAGAATTGCAGGATATGCGTTTTATTGTTTTCTTGATGGCTATTCAGGGTATAACCAAATACCAATCGCACCAGAAGATCAAGATAAGACAACTGTCACATGTCCTCATGGAACATATGCATATAGGAGAATGCCGTTTGGTTTGTGCAACGCCCCTGCTATATTTCAGCGTTGCATGTCAGCAATTTTTTCTGACATGACTGAAAAATTTCTTGAAATTTTCATGGATGATTTTACACTCTTCGGCAAGGATTTTGAGGATTGTCTTCACCACTTAACCTTAGTTCTTAAGAGATGTGAAGAGACAAACTTAATTCTTAATTGGGAAAAATATCATTTTATGGTTACTGAGGGAATTGTTTTAGGACATAAAATTACTGCTAAAGGGATAGAAGTTGATAAGGCTAAAATTAATCTTATAGCAGGATTACCCCCTCCCACAACTGTTAAAGGCATTAGAAGCTTTCTAGGTCATGCAAGGTTTTATAGACGGTTCATAAAAGATTTTTCAAAGATTTCAAAACCACTGACTAACCTTTTAATGAAAGATGTTAAGTTTAAATTTTCAGGTGAATGTATGAAAGCCTTTGACACCCTTAAAGAAAAATTATCAACTGCCCCTATAGTTGTGTCCCTTGATTGAAACCAACCTTTTGAGGTCATGTGTGATGCTAGTGATGCAACAGTTGGAGCTGTTTTAGGCCAGAGAAAAGATAAGATTTTTCGTCCAATTTACTATGCCAGCAGGACAATGAATGAGGCTCAACTAAATTATGCCACGACTGAAAAAGAACTACTAGCGGTGGTATTTGCATTTGATAAGTTTCGTTCCTATCTGATAGGAACCAAGGTCACTATTTTTACTGATCATGTGGCTCTAAAATACCTCTTAGCAAAAAAAGATGCCCGACCTAGATTGTTAAGATGGATTTTACTTCTCCAAGAATTTGAGCTTGAAATAAAAGATAAAAAAGGAACAGAGAATCAGGTAGCTGACCATTTGTCCAGATTAGAGAACACCCAACTTGAGTTATGTGATATAAAAGAAGAGTTTCCTGATGAACATATTTTTTCTATCAACTCAGTTGTGACTCAACCACCCTGGTTTGCAGATATTGCAAATTACTTGGTTGGAAAATGGACACCCAAAATCTCATTTACCAACAGAGAAAAAAGTTGATATCTGATGCTAAATACTATTTGTGGGATGACCCTTACTTGTTTAAAATTTGTGCAGATAATATTATCAGAAGATGTGTACCAGAAGAAGAAATGACATAAATTTTGTATCATTACCACGATGGAGCAGTTGGAGGACACTATGCAGCAAATCGAACTGCCTTTAAAGTTCTAGAGGTTGGATTTTTCTGGCCAATACTTTTTAAGGATGCTCGTGCCTACGTTGCACAGTGTGACAGGTGTCAAAGAACAGGCAATATCACTAAGAGAGATGAGATGCCATTGCAATCAATACAGGTATGTGAAATATTTGATGTTTGGGGAATAGATTTCATGGGTCCTTTTCCTTCATCTCATTCTTTTGAATATATCCTTGTGACTGTGGACTATGTTTCAAGATGGGTTGAAGCCATTCCAACAAGGAAAAATGATGCTCAAACTGTGTGCAATTTTCTTAAGAAAAATATTCTTACCAGGTTTGGTACACCGCGAGTTATCATTAGCGACCAAGGGTCTCATTTCATGAATAGACAATTTTCAGCATTATTGTCAAAATATTGTGTGACTCACAAAACAGGAACACCATACCATGCTCAAACACAAGGGCAAGTTGAGGTTTCTAACCGTGAATTAAAAAGAATACTTGAAAAAACGGTTGGAATCTCCAGAAAAGACTGGGCTTCAAAATTAGATGACACACTATGGGCATATCGAACGACATTTAAAACGCCAATTGGTACGTCTCCATATCGATTAGTCTTTGGAAAAGCTTGTCATCTTCCTGTTGAATTGGAACACAAAGCATTTTGGGCGTTGAAAGCATTGAACTTTTAATTAAACTCTGCTGGTAAAAATAGATTTTCTCAGGTGAATGAATTGGAAGAACTCAGATTAGAAGCCTATGAAAATGCCAAAATTTTTAAAGAAAAAACAAAAAAATGGCACGACAATTTAATCCGACAGAAAACTTTTAAAATTGGAGATCATGTACTTCTATACAGCAGTAGACTCCGGCTATTTCCAGGAAAATTAAAATCCAGGTGGACGGGTCCTTACAATGTTACAGATGTTACTCCATACGGAGCAATTGAAATTCAACAAACCAATGGAGGAGACAAATTTAAGGTAAATGGTCACAGGTTAAAATTATATTTTGGAGGGCATTTTGAGCAACAACCATCTGTCACTTTGATAGATTGATGAAGTCTACAATTAATAAGTCGAGCTGGCGACGTTAAACTCAGAACTATGGTTCCTTACCCGTAGCCATTGAGGGTGAAGCAATGGAGCCTCATAAGTCCAACATAGATTTAAATAGTTAAATGCTTAATCAATTGATCTGGTTAATATCCAGGTTATTGTACAACCAGAACATCTCATGAAGGCCTCTACAAAAACAGAGTCACCTATACAGGAGTAACTCCATGGTGATCGGTATGCCTAAGTAACTGGTTGGTTAACCATTTAATAATGTAATTCATATGTTGGCACAGATAATTTTCTAGTTTATATACAAACTAGACTTGTTATTTATACGCAAAAGGTGTGTGGCTGCAGTTTCTTTCAAGCTTTCTTCTGCAGTTGTATATTTGAAAGCCAAAAAGATTTTTATCTATCTATCTATCTATCTATCTATATATATAGATAGATATATATATTTGAAAGCCAAAAAGATTTTTATCATGTAATTCATATGTTGGCACAGGCAATTTTCTAGTTTATATACAAACTAGACTTGTTATTTATACGCAAAAGGTGTGTGCCTGCAGTTTCTTTCAAGCTTTCTTCTGCAGTTGTATATTTGAAAGCCAAAAAGATTTTTATCTATCTATCTATCTATATATCTATATATAATAGATTTTTTTTAATAATTATGCCTCTTGTAAAGTGTTAATTTATCAAAATAAAACTCTTATCATTCTATATCAAATATATATTTTTTATATTTACCACATAACTTTCTTGTTTTTAAGTTTATTTTTATGAAGGCAAGAATAAATATCTTCAATACTTGGCAAGACATTCTGAGATTGAGAAGCATTATGATCAAAAAGCAAGTAGAACTTATAATCTATATGCTAGAACTTGCCCTAAATCTTTCGAGTCGAAATCCTAGACAACACTGATTTTTGAAATATGAATTTAGGCTTTCTTTGTTTACCTCAGCCTTTTCTAGATATTGCACAAAAATTTACTACAAAAAAAATCCCTAGCACCTATTTTGAAGCTTGAAGACCTATTTTTTTCTTTTGATACCTAAGTATGCCCAAATTTAAATATCACATTCATGCTTATGATTTGAAAAGTCCTTTTTCAGAAAATAAGTTTGGAGCTCATTTTGAAAAAGAATCAGAATTAAAGAAAAGAAAAAAAAAGAAAAAAAAAGGAGAGATTGATCTTATGTTCAAGCATTATAAGTACAAAAAAAAAATCAATAGCAAATATTTGGAAAGTCTGATCTTAGAAATATTCTGCTCCAAAACTGAAAAAAGGCAAGCCACTACAAATATAACCTTTAACCTACCAGCCTGAAGCCAACATTACAAGCCAGAAAAAGTCCTAAAAGATTTTAGAAATCAGTGTTTAGTCTACATTAGTGGAGATAGACATAAAGGGCAAGCCTATGGACAAAAGATGAGGAATACTCAATGCAAATGATCATAAAGTTAATCAATTTGAGAGAA